AAAAAAAAAAAAAGTGAATTTTAGGAAAAATCCCCTTTAAAAAAATCCCCCCCAAAAAAATTTTCTTGAACCCCAAAATATTAAAAAAATCCCAAAAATTCACGCTGGTTCCACTTGGGATTTAGGGCACGGTAAAATATCCTGAAATATCCCATAAGTTTATCCAAAATTCGCCAAAAATCATCCAGAAATCACCAAATCAAGCAGGGTCTCCCAAAATCATTTAAAATCCCACCCAAAACCCCAAAATTCACGCAGGAGACCCCAAAATTCCTCAAACCCCACCCCCAAGATCATCCAGGACTCCCCAAAATCATCCAGGAGCCCCCAAAATCATCCAGGAGCCCCCAAAATCATCCAGGGTCCCCCAAAATCATTTAAAACCCCAAAATTCATACAGGACCCCCCAAAATCATCATAAATTCTTTAAAACCCCACCCCCAAAATCATCAAGAATTCCCCAAAATCAACCCATCAAAATGTCTCCCAAAATCATTTAAAACCCCACCCAAAAACCCCAAAATTCATGCAAGATCCCCCAAAATCACCCATAAAATTCCTCAAACCCCACCCCCAAAATCATCCAGAATTCCCCAAAATCATCCAGAATTTCCCAAAATCAACCAGGGTCCCCCAAAATCATTTAAAACCCCACAATTCATGCAGGACCCCCCAAAATCACCCCAAAATTCTTCCTAGCCCACCTCCAAAATCATCCAGAACTCACCAAAATCAACCAGGATCCCCCAAAATCATTTAAAACCTCACCCAAAAACCCCAAAATTCATGCAGGACCCCCAAAATCATCCCAAAATTCCTCAAACCTCACCCCCAAAATCATCCAGAATTCCCCAAAATCATCCAGAATTCCCCAAAATCAACCAGGGTCTCCCAAAATCATTTAAAACCTCACCCAAAACCCCAAAATTCATGCAGGACCCCCCAGAACCACCCCAAAATTCTTCCAAGCCCACCCCCAAAATAATACAGAATTCCCCAAAATCAAGCAGGGTCTCCCAAAATAATTTAAAACCCCAAAATTCATACAGGACCCCCCAAAATCACCCCAAAATTCTTCCAAGCCCACCCTCAAAATCATCCAGAACTCACCAAAATCAACCAGGATCCCCCAAAATCATTTAAAACCTCACCCAAAAACCCCAAAATTCATGTAGGATCCCCAAAATCACCCCAAAATTTTTCAAACCCCATCCAGGATCCCCTCAAATGTCCCCAAAATTGCCCAAATTCCCCCAAAATTCCCCCAGACCAGGCTCTGCTGTCGCTGCTGCTCATCCATGATCCCGACCTGAGCCAAGCCTGGGCTCACCTGCAAATTAAAGCAAAAAAAA